CTTGGTAGCAAGACCCTTTGAAACGTGGGGGCGTATTGCATCTGCAGCGCGTTTGCAGCTTCCAGACACAGGGTCTGCTTCAAAACTCGTGCAATTGACAAAGAATTCACGGAATGTTTCTCAGATTGCAGCTACGTCATGAAATATGTGGCTCACGCCTTCAACAATTTCAGTAATCAGAGGAGAATGGTTACCAGTTTTACAACGCAGTATTTGGATAAGATCCCAAGCATTGCATATTGTTTGCAGGGCTACATGTTCTTCATTTTTTGCCTTGTTGCATGCGTATATTTAAACTTGGTGCTAAATTCATGCATTTACATGATAAGAAGTCATGTGGCTTCAGATACTATTTTAGCTTGCTGTCTAGTTGTGTGTTCGACGTCATCTTTGACGACATGAGGTATACGATCACATTGTAGTGCAATATGGGCCATAGATCTGATAGAAGGAAGAAATGTGGTATGCAAGATTGACTTTGCATGGGATGACCAGCGTATTTTTCGTAAGTCGTAATCACCGGCAATTCTCTTCTGGCTGTGGGGCAACCCTGTGCAACGGCGAATGCAGATAAGGGTATAAGCGTTATAGCACATTTAGAGTTCAGTTATGGCGGTCCGCTGCCGTCATCCATGGCACTGTGGCATAAGTCGCTGGCACTTGAGAGTTAGGTCGTGGGTTCGAACCCGGTAGGATCCAGCGGGTGCACGCTACTGACAAGTCTCAGTAGGACGAAACAGCCGTCTAGGGCGTCCCTGGATATTTTGTGGCTGTCTTTCTGAGTCAAGCTGTGATTAATCTTCACGAACTACCAAATAAATCCCCTACTTCTCACCAATTTCTCGATGTACCTAGCTATTTTTCCGATGTTCGCGGCAGTGCCAAGTCGGGATTTTGTAGGACAGTCCCATCTGGTAAAATCAAACTGCCATTAAACTGCGTGTTCAGGGTTAGGACGGGTTCACAATGGAAGGACGGCTGCTCGGCTTTATCGCTCAAAACACTGAAAGTGATTGGGCAGCAATGTTTCAGTGGCTTCCTTTTTAAACGGTGGCACGCAGTCGACATCAAACCTGTTACGGGCTTTCAGTCTCGTTAATTTTATTTTATCTAGACCCTACCTGTCCCGCACGTTGAAAACAAGCACATTTTTTGATGTGTTTCGGTGTTGCTACTTCCAACACTGACACCCCATAACCGGTTTTGTCCTCGTTTGGACTCGTCCGATGGAGATAGCCTGAGCTGGGATGGAACTCGGAGCCTAGTGGTTAAAGGCTGACGTCTTGACCAGCATGACTCTATTAACCGTTAGCAGCACATTCGGTCGTGTAATTTGGAGCCAACCGAGGAAATTAGCTGCCCTGCTTTCTCCATCAGAACGAGATCAACTTTCTCCAATTTGTTACTGATGTAGTCAAGCAAAATTGGGTGATAACTGTGAGGTCCAAGGAGTGCCAGGGTTTTATTATCTCATTAGGTTGCAATTCCAACTGCAGCGTTATCATATAGTTCCGAAGTGAGTTTATTATTTGCAGTGGAAAAGATTCGTTTTGCTTTTGGGAGCTCCTATTTTATTCGCTTTGCTGGTGACGTGGAAAGTACACTGCGCTTAGGTTGCGGAATAAGGCGAGTTTGGTGGGGTCTTGGCGAACTAATTTTATCATCGTTCAGACACATAAGCCAAAGCATGAAAACGCAAAGAATACAAACTTTATGTGATTTCTCGCAGTCGGATGTTGATAGTTCGGTACGAGTACACAGGTACGATTATGGATATCAATTCAAAGAAACTGCCGAAAAGCACACCTGAGGTCAGGGCGTGAAGTTGTACCCTGCAGTATAGGCACCAGGTATGGAGTGAAGCGGTTGCATAAAACAAACGCACAGATGTAAGCACCCGCGAAAAGATTCAAGTAACTGGTCCTCTAAAGTACGTAAGCAAAATATCGATAGATGCCCCGCACGCATCAGGGACAGGACGATGCGTCGGTTTCGCGCTCGATAATGGTTTCGACAAACCGCAAAAGTTGCGGAGATGCGAGGATAGATTTACGGTTAGTCTGACGGAAGAAGGCCGATTAGCGTTCATTTACCTACCATGGCTCCCTTATGGTGAACGCCGGTCATTTACGGTTGTTGTCCCCAACATCCCATAGCCATCCAATATTTAGCGAAATGCGCAACATGCTACTGCGCATACATAGACATGAATTTCTCTCTCACCTTAGTGGTGCGGACGTATGGAATTCTCGGCAGACGAGTGATTTAGTGCAGGGCTCAGCTGAGAAAAAGCCTAACCTCTAAAGACACATCGACATGAAGCTGTTGGTCTTCGGGCGAAATGACTACAGACAGC